TAAACGCTATGCGCAGTATACTCACAATTATACAGTATCTGTTGAATGTCTATATGCCTTATCTATAGGATCATATTATACCTAGGGAATGGAAGGGAGGAAGAGGGGTACAAGAGGTGGATAAGGGATGAGAATTTTCGGAAAAATCAAAAGACAATTATGGTGGGACATCTATCTTGTGTCTTTTAACTCATCTCTGATGAATCTCTTTCAAACAATGATCGTAGAATTTCAACAGGTCGTTTTTCAGCCTCCTCTAGATAGGCTCCATCTTGCATCTCATGTCTGTTATAGAGTAAGGAAGAGAAACCATGTTCACTGAGACCCAGATCACTCTGTAACATCGCAGTCCAGTTCAAATTAAAGTTCATTATAAATTCCTGCAAGGAAAGATATTTTTTATAGTAGAGATATACATTTGCTATTGCAGGGCATCTCTAATGTCTAAGAGTCACAAGGATCTATTGAACATCGAAGTATTCTCTCAGAGGATAGGCTATACCACATTCTTCTAGAGCATTAGAAGCTTTCCATGACTTTACGTCCAAATGATCTATTTGTTGGTTATTACTAAGAATGGTAGTCATAGTTGCCTATCGTGGTGTGTGTTGGACATCTCAGTAACCTAGAACAAGTCAGCTTTCCTCCGATGTAAATCAGAGATTAAAGCCAAGAGGTTTGCCAAAAACCATTCACATAGGGCTGTTGAGTTGACAGAACTAAATAAAAAGTTAACATTGTAGTGTTTTAGAGATAGATGATTAAGTCTCAATTGAATTAAAAGATGTCATATTGTGTCCCAAATTTCTAAAATAAATTAACTCACCTGTTGAAAATCTGTATCTCCCATCTGACTGAACTCAGTCTGGGGAACAAACTTTTTCTCTTTGATTGGGGTCAAATCTAAATCAAATTTGATAGTTTTAGCAGCTGGCTTGTCTTTCATTGATAGTTTGATATCTAACTGTTCTTCTATCCAGGTCCAGTTCCTTTTTATCAGGTTGTGGATTATCTCCAGATGGTGGTAACCTGAGGGGAAAAAAATAGTGTCATATTGTGGTCTGAAATAATTCTTTCTTAACAAGAGTTACTTCCCTTCTAGTCAGCAAGAGCTGCCTTGCTGTCATGTGACAAGTAAATATTCATTTGTGTTATTTGTTTGATAATCAGTACAGTGCTCTTGTGATGAGTCATGATTGATGATAGAATTTATATCACTATTATGATATACTACTCGGTTTATTTGTACACAATGTTTCAACAATTTACATTGTCATCATCAGTTTATATGGTATACTATTCCTGAGTTTATTTGTTCACAACGTTTCAACAATTTACATTGTCATCATCAGTTTATATGGTATACTACTCCTGAGTTTTATTGTACACAATGTTTCAACAATTTACATTGTCATCATCAGTTTATATGGTATAGTGCTCCTGAGTTTTATTGTACACAACGTTTCAACAATTTACATTGTCAACATTATTTTATATAGTATACTACTTCTGAGTTTTATTGTACACAATGTTTCAACAATTTACATTGTCATCATCAGATGAAATGAGGAAGTTTGAACTCACCATCAATATCATTAAGTATGGCGGCTGCAGCAGTGGTAAAAATATGGTCAGCAAACTGACTGGTGGCTCCCTCTAGTATATCAGTATCTGGTACAGTAAATAATCTACAAATAACAGTACATATTATTTAACATTGTATTAGAGGGTAAGAGTCGACAACAGACCGATTCTTAAAAGCACTGGCACAGGCATCAGAATTGTTCTCACTGACTGCTAAGTGGTCAAAGTGGTAGACAAAACATTTTTATTTAAAATAATCTTGCTTGAATGATAAAATCATTTTCTTCTATATTTCTATGGATTATAAATAAAACCCATTTTATTCTGTAAATCACATAAAGTCACAGCCATATTATACAGTCTTTCTGTCGAGGACTCTTAATTGGGTACAAGCAAAGCGAATCTTAAAAATCCTGACTGTCAGCTGTTTTTTGATCAAACGTCTTGTGACATGTCCTTTCTTTTTTTGTATCTGTACCGTGGATTAAGAAGAAAGATGACATAAGCCATATTATACAGTCTTTCTGTTGAGGGCTCTGATTGGGTACAAGCAAAGCGAATCATATCACATCTTGCAGAT